TAAGGCATTAAGGGGATGGGGCCTACTACCTACACCTGTGAGTGTAGTTTAGGGGGAAGAATATTTATAGACTAAGGTGTATTTTTCACCCATTTGAGAGCCCACGATAGAAAAAAAGTAGTCAAGAAACGGTCGCTGTAGCCGAAACTGTCATGGAGGATTATTAGTTTAGGGTGGACGTTAAAAAGAAAAAACAAGTAAATTAAAAGTCTTTATTTTGGCCCAGTCAAAGTTTAAGAAGTATACTGCAATGACATATTATTATTTCATATTTATGATACACGCTGGAAGATGAACAAGCATGCATAATAAACCATTACTTTATTTAAATAAAACGAAACGTATACATGTATAAAATTCCTTTTTATTTTGTTGTTCGGTTATTTTTTACATAGATTTTTTACTGTTATTTTATTATTATTTTTATCAACAAGTATTCGCATTCACATGTTCATAGAATCAGTTCACCTGAATATCAGTCATTGAACTTCGAATATAAGCCCGCCAATTGGCAAAATCGCCACTAAATATAATTTCCATCAAGTAAATTGCTTTTTCCTATAAAATTCGCTTTTCCAATTATGTTTAAATACATTTCCCTGTTATTTTTGTTTATTGACTTTAAATATCAATAATCACTCCTGTTTTTGAAAGCATGGAAACTGAAATATTGACAGCATTAATTTATATTCGTAACATTATTTCTAGAAATAGTTTGAGCTAGCCACTAGTGTGTCATTAATTGGGATATAATCAAGTATTATAGGAAGTGAGCCCATTCTCCGAGAGTTAATTAATCAAAATATCCAATTATAATTCAACCTAGGGGATCTCAAATTTTACACATGACCGTTACACAGACACATTCGATCACCTACCGCTTTTAATTATACTTTCACAAGAAACATACTCAAGAACGCGAGGAAACGCATGCAATATACCTGGTTTAATAATAATATCTTCATAATCTTAACTAAGAATAAACTCCACTTCCCCAAGGTGTTGTAAGAAGCAATTAAGTATTTTTATGAGGAGAACGTGTGGCAGGATCCTTAACCCGGCTGCCAAGTCTCGGCATGTTTACGGCTTATATTATATGATAAACTCATTCTAGCGTTAGTTGTTTATGTCCATAGCACTTAAAGTTTTCACGAGGCGAGAACTAAATGACGTCAGGGTCTTTCAGATTTGGATGCGGTTGAATTATGTATTAAGTCATTATTCTATTTAAAAAATATTATTATGCATTCACCTCCAAATAAACCGTTAATTTAGCTCAGAACTAATTTGTTATAGATATTTAATCACAAATTCAGCCCCAGTATTTGCCCCTTAAGGTTAATCTTACTCTCTGCCCACCCATTTAAGCTTGAACAGATATTATTTTGGTCACTAAACAAAACAATATACACAGGTACATTTTATCAACTTATTCAAGCAATTTATTTAGCTACTAATCACTACGTTCTCATTCTTTATTTCTCTTTCTAACATTGGCTTTCATATACCGTGTACTCTTTCTATCGCCCCGCATTTCCTTAAGAGTGCTCCTACTAAATACATAATTGACCTGTGGTAAGTTATACGCTCGTATCCCACGTCTATCTTTTCTTAATGAACGGGAACTAAGTGGCTGCAACGTAAACAGTGTTGGCACCACTTAAGCACTAAATGGAGTCGGCAGATAGGCTGTTAGTGCTGTATTTACCAACTGGGAGTTCTGTAATAGAAACTCGTGGTACGTTGCATTGGTGTTTTTCTTAATACGAGCATTAGATCGAGCTGTGCCTGAAATAGAAAAGGATTACTTAGAGTAGGTGTTCATCAGAATTTATGCTGTTTTACCTAGTTGATGTAACATAAATAGGTATAGGTGTAGGTCTCTCACCAAAGATTTCAATTCACACTTATTTTATCCTAAAAACGATTATGTTGTTATGTTATAGCTGGTACTAAAATAATAAATGTAGGGAACAAGATTATAGTGTTTCTTTCTGTCAGATAACATCCTTAGTGTCCAATCGCAAAGCTCGATAAGTGTCGTTGGATTTGTTGCATTTCTTCGACTGAACACATGATTGGATCAAAAACGAAATGTAGCGTGTTTTGATCTACAAGTTCTTTGTTTTCAAATACTGCCTACAAATAATTTTGAACCACGATGTTCTCGAACACTACGAAAATCTGTTTGTGGTATTATTTCACTGAAAACTGTACTAAACGCCATTTAGACAGTATAATAGTCGAGTAAACAAACTGCCAGCCTCTTGCCCGTGAATGCAATAATAAGTCTTTCGTAATTAAGTCTTGCAACTTGTTTTAAATGAGAAGCGCACCGTTTAATATTTTAAATGATTTGAGGGCGCATACTAAAACCGTCTTGTAGTCTTAGGTATACCAAGTGTAATACTAATAAAGGCTGATCTAAAGTCATAGATATAATATAAAAGGATATTATTACGATTTTCTAAGTGCGTTTATACATACGATGATAAACAATATCAAAATGATTAAGTTTTTAATAATAAGTTCAAATTATAAGTTACAAATCGGTGATCCGCCTTGGGCAAGTGAGCGAAATGATTGGTGTTCATTCTTTCTCTGTATTAGAAGAGATCTTTGTCTAGCAGTGGTTATAGGCTGATATTGATAATGGCAAGTTTTACTTAAATTGTTTAGTATAAGAATCAAACCGACACACGGCCGGTTACCCTGCTACAGTCAATATTTTCAGTTCATTGATCCCTAAAAATACAGCCTCCGATGACGTAGGTACTCGTAAAACATATATTTAGTAATCCTTGTACCTTAACGTTTACGTAAAACGTAAATAACGTTATTTATTCACAAAATGCCGGATAATATTAATCTCCTTGATCTTTAGCCTTCCTTGTAAATCTACGAAATCATAATAAAGTATTTGAGCCCGAAATTTTTCGTTAGATTGAGTGAAAACCGAGTAATTACGGTAATCTATGAAAATGTCGAATAAATGAAAAATGTTACGTGATTCATGTTCTTTATTACGATGCTAAATTATTTTATTTAATTACGTGATGTTTTTCGTGTAATATGCTGATGTCTAGAGAAAGAATAACTATGTTACGTAGGTAAATAAATGGACTTGCCACGTAAGGAATAGTGTAATAAATTGTGAGCATCATGCCTCTGAACTTCTGAACAGTTGGACAAAGCTGCACAACACGGGTATTTTTACCACATTTTACAATTATTTCTAAAAGTGACTACTACGTACCTCGTAGTTGTCCCCTCCCCGTCATTGTATAGATTAGAAATAGATCATTATGGCAGTTTGCAAAGAGTGATTTAAATTTTAATTATTGTCAAGAGCCAAAATTTTGTATTCCTTTCCTCTTTAATTTATATTACTTTGAGGTTTCATCAACAAACCAATCTGACCGTTAAAGTTGCATGCGGCTGCACCCGTCAAATGTCTCCTGCAGCTTGGGCATGCCGTAGCCGTAGCGCTCGGAGGCGGTCGCTGGCAATCTGTCACCGCTTAAGCGCTGAATACAGCGAGAAATAAATACACAGCAGTTTCCTATAAGTGGGCAACAATTCGTTGTGTTAAACGTTTCTTTGTAGCGTCGCCAAAATGAAGCCAAAACTATTTGGCGCCGTTAATTTGCTGACAGAGCTGAAGCATCAAAAATAAATGGGTCACTCTATTCGTTGGAATAAGTTTACTGCTAGTGCCATACACTGCTAAAACTAATATCATCCGGGAAATATGGCCTATAAAATTTAATTATGGAACATTAGCAATGATGAATCGCGAGCTACTCGGGACATTTAGCGTAATTATATTGTGATTTCAGAATAATCGCATGATGAATAGGCGCATGCCAACTTCTACTTCTAGCTGATTGCTTTTTCATTAAATTAATTAAGGTTTTATAGTTTAATGCGACACTGAAATGACTTAATGCAACCTTTCATATTATTTATGAGCTTTAATGTTAAGGGTTGGTTTTCGTCGGTATTATGGAAATAATTCCTAAACAATGTTGCAAGCAACTGGCTAGAAACTCTAGAAAATATGTTTTAATTGAAGTCGTTGACCCACCGCGGCTACAGTGCACGTTTATCTTCTATGCTCGACTGCTTAAAACCACACTGTGATAATTTATGACCTCTGGAACTTTCGTAGCAGTGAAAACTACACTCTGTTTAAGTTGCTTACAAAATTCTTTCATTGCAAAAACTAAGTGAAATAAAATTCTTAATACAAAGTAACAAGATAAAGCTGAGTACATAAGATATATTCCTTTGCCAAAGTTATTGGCGTAGGATTGGCTTTACAAAAGTTAAGCTCGCAAGATAATTTCGGTCTTTATTATTTTTCGAAGTGGAACACCAAAGGGACGCTTGGTGGAAAATAAACATTCCCAAATCGTTCTAAGCCTGTTTTTAAAGACCTCCCTCGTTCTTAGCCTTATTAATTGTTTCTGCAACTAATAAGTTTTCTAAATGAATTACTAAAACATTTTTCGGTACTTTTATCAGAATTTTATTATAATTAGAAGGTACCTAAACAAATGAAGTGAAGCTTTATTATGTTGACTCAATTAAATCTATAGGGTGTTAAGGTAAAATAAATGGAGTATCAAATTATCTAAATTAAAAAGTATTTAGAATGTTCGCTGTTGATCTTTAAGCAATTAGCACGGAGTAACACGAAGTTCCTATGAATTCTAATTCCTATGAATTATGTAAACAAGCTTCATGGAAAAATCCACCTAATTGTTATTTTATTAGGCTCGTAAAAATGTGAAGAACATTTTTATGAATTCACACAAAACATTTAGAATAATTATGTGTTGTTTTGTGACTACGAAGAGAATGGACATTATCATATTAATCAATCTATTATATTCTCACTACTAAACTACTAACATTCCTTTTCTTTTTGTTCCAGAACGATATCCTCTCATTTGGATTCCGAATGCACGATGCCATTGAAATGACGTCACAACACCATGGGCGTTATCACTCTTCTGTCTCGCCTGAAATGCGGCGTATTTGCATTTCTAATCATTATCTACACACCAATACTACAAGGAGAAGAACAACCACAATGTCCAAGCTTAGCAGAGAACCCAATTTGTCCTTGTTATAGTTTTAAAGAAGGTAAGTACCTAATTAGTATTAACTTCGTGACAAAGGCATTTGAGTACTAAAATACCAATAAATTATTAATTAATTTAATTCAGTCTCCGCATGAGTTTTAATCAGTCTTTTATGAGGAATATTAGCACAAATAATCAGATTTTTTTCTAGAAACCTAAGAGTTCTACCAAATTTACTAAACCGAATTATTAGGCGAGTCACAGAATTAGATGAGTTCACTATACTTTGTTTTCTGAAATTTGATACGAATCTTCTCTCAAAAGTAAAATCACTACAGCAGACGGCGCTTTCAAACTCTCTTATGTTTTTCATCAAGTCACACGTGCTCTAACACTCACGCTCTAAACATCGTGTATGTACATACATTTGAAAATGTGTATCGTTAATTAAAATATTTATTTCAGGTATATATTTGGAATGCCCCAGCGCAACACCGGGGGTCGTAAAAAATGTGCTGTCCAAGATAAGAGGAAACATCCACTCGCTCTCAATATACGACTTAGAAATATCAACGACTGAACTAAATGCAGATATCTTCCCACCAAAAATAAAAATAACTAATCTACAGATCTCGCAGTCGGGAATAAACAAAATAAGCCCTAACGCTTTTACATCGGTACGTGACTCGTTAGGATCTTTGAGCATAATTTCCGGTAAATTGAGCAAAATTCCGCATGAATCATTCTTGGAACTTCACAATATTACGGCACTTGATTTACAGCTTAACGACATCAAAGATATTCAAGCAAATACATTCAGAAATCTTAAGTTGAATAAAATAAATTTGAAAGGAAACAAAATAGCCAATATTTCAGAAAATGCATTTTACAATTTAGAAGAATCTCTGGGAGAACTCGACATGAGTGAAAATTTTCTAACAGTTTTTCCTTTAAAACCTTTGGCTAAATTAAATAATATCAGCAGTCTACGACTCGCGTGGAATAAAATAAATTCAATTCCGGACGACATAAATGTTACAATAGCAAATCTAGAGAGTTTAGATCTAAATTCAAACTATTTTACTAGAATAGAAAAGTATTGGTTTAGGTGTATGCCTAGAATAAAGATTTTAACATTTTTTAGTAATCAAATTCAGCAAATTGATGAAGGAGCATTTTATTCTTTACAAAAACTAGAAACTGTGGATTTAAGCCGTAACAAAATAACAACGCTTGCTAAGAATATTTTTCAAAAGAACCCCAGCATTCGCACTATAGATTTGAGTTACAATCATCTCCATCACATAAATGGAGTTTTTTCAAACCTTCATGAACTCTCAGAAATATTTCTATCGGAAAATAACATCTTGGAGATATCCGACGATGCATTCGTTAATGCATTTGGACTAACAGTTCTTAACTTAGAACATAATGCCATTCAAAAATTACACCCAAATAGTTTTACATCTTTACAAAATTTAACGCAACTACATATGGGAACAAACTTTTTAAATAAACTTCCTCGTAGTGTATTCCAATCAAATCGTAAACTAATTACTTTAAGTCTAGATAATAATGAAATTAATGAATTAGACGAATTGGTGTTTGAGAAATTGGATGACTTGAAAGAAATACGTTTGCAAAATAATAAGTTAAGTCAAATCAAAAGAAATGTATTTAGTCCATTGCCAGGGCTGTTAGAACTACATTTGCAAAATAACCTTGTACAAACTATAGACTCTCATGCATTCATTACCCTTAAACGGCTTCAACACATTAATTTGCAGGGTAATCGCTTGACAACTATTGGGGATGTATTCCCAAACAGAAATTCATCCTTGGTTTCTATTCAACTTGGTGCAAATTATTTATCAATGTTAAAAAACAGCTCTCTTAGAGGGCAGATGAACGTGCAAATAATGTGGCTAAGCCAAAATAACATAAAAGTATTAACATCTAATCTTTTCAATGATTTGTTAAATATTCAAAGGCTGTATCTAAAAAATAATAGTATTGTACATATTGAAAATAGAACATTTATGCACTTGAAAAAAATTAAGTTTCTAGATTTAAGTAATAATAAGCTTGTTAAACTAAGTAATGAGACGTTTTATAAACTTGTAACGTTGGAAGAACTGTACCTACAAAATAATCACATAAATCAAGTCACCAAAGATACATTTCAGTTTTTAATTAAATTAAAAGTATTAGATTTATCGCAAAACGACATCGTTATATTTAATTTTGATATTTCTTCATTGCCCATTAAGCAGCTTAGACTGAGTAAAAATTCTATAGCAATAATTGAAGTAGATTCACTTAAAAGTTTACCAAATTTGAGTGATCTGGAAATGAATAACAATGACTTGACTTGGGAAGATATTATTCAGATACAGATACCTGGACTGAAATCTTTGATAATATCCGAGAATAACTTCACATTGTTGGAAAATAAGACGTTTGCTCATCTTCCTTCATTACAAACTCTGTCTCTAGAGTTATCAAATATATCGCAACTGCCGCCGACGACATTCATTAAAAATCAGAATCTGTTGAGAATAAATTTAGCTTATAATAATCTGCGAGACTTACACAAAGATGTCTTCGCATACACAACAATATTACAAGAACTCAATTTAAAAGGAAACAATTTCACAGATTTCCCTCACCACGCGCTCTTCAATGTAACTTCATTAGAAATATTAGATTTATGTGGCAATCAACTACACAGTATTGACTTCTTCAAATTTATCGGTCTACAGAACTTGCGATCACTTAATTTATGTAATAATCGTATTTCTATGTTAAATGGTTTTAATTCCCCATCACTTAAAAATCTAGTTACAGTGAATTTAAGCAATAATATGTTAACAGTTCTTCCACCGAATTTTTTTCATCACTCTGTTGGTTTGAAAGAGATTGATTTATCATATAATCTGTTTAAAAATATCCCGAGCAATGGCTTATCGGAAGCAGTGCTTCCTGCGCTTACAACACTAAATATGTCTTCTAATTCTTTAGTGCAATTATTGCAAACATATCCTTCTAAATTATTTCCAGTATTAGAAGAATTAGTTGTTACTAATACAAACTTAACGATTATCACAAGTAAAGACTTTGAAAATTTCCCATCACTGAAGAGATTGATATTGTTACAAAACTCCATAATTCGCCTATCTCCAGGGGCTTTCTCTAAGTTACATAACTTAGAGCTGCTTGATTTAAGTCAAAATAAATTAGAAAACATTCCGAGAGAGAGACTCCAAGGATTGTATTCCACGCGCGTCCTCAATATGTCTCAAAACGTCATCAGAGAACTGGAAGATTTCACATCGGACTTACAAAGTCTGCAGAAGTTAGATATCTCATTTAATCATATTACAAGAATAAATAAAGACGTATTCAGAGGCCTCTCGAGCCTGACAGAGTTGTATTTGAGTGGAAATTGGTTATCAGCCATATCTGCAGACGCATTCCGAAATCTGAATAAGATTGCATTTATTGACTTGAGTCGAAATTACTTTGAAGTAATACAGATGAAAATGCTCAAAGTACTAGAAACGCAGATAAAAACTATATATTTTAATGGTAAGATATTGATACTTCAAAATTTGATGGTATGGTTTACTTTGTTATCATTTTACCTTATACATTTAAACTTTCAGAAAATCCACTAACTTGCAACTGTGAAACACAAGAGGTTTGGCGATGGATGAAAGAACACTATAAAATAGTCATCAAAGGGAGTCGTAACTTGCGTTGTGAACACCCGGAAGATCTTCATGGTTATAGCTTCATCGAATTACCATCCCACAAACTTTGCGACATACCTATCGTCATCCGTATTGCTATACAAGATATACAAACATATTCGATCATAGTATCTTGGCAGAGTCGCAACCAAACTGGTTTGAATGCATATCAAGTAGCTTATTTTAGCGAGGACAATCCAACAATGGTACGTATCTTTGAAGTTTCTCATATTTTTCCAAACTATTCCTGCGAAAAACATTTTACCTGTATAACTAAATGCTTATAATTTTAAGTAAAACGTGAAATAAAACGTGCACGGCAACCGCTACAACAAATATTTGAATACAAAGGCTGTGTATCACCTCAATGGACCATAAAAAATATTTATGTTTCTCGCCTGTGGATGTTCGACTGTGCTGTGAATCCATTTGAATCTTTCTTTTACAATGGCTCATAGGTGCTCAGAACTTTTTAGTACTCGATTCGAGCGTCTGGTTTCGATTTTTGACGCAGTTGACACAGTTCCATCCATTTAATTTATTTTTCTCTCACAGATACGAGGAAAAATTCTCAACGCAACAGCGAGATCAACGAGACTCAATAATTTGACACCAGGATCCAGATATACGGTTTGTGTAATAGCAGCTGGCAGCTTCGGTCCTTCGACATCTACAGGATTTTCAGTACCAGACGCTCGAATAGCGCTCTCCCCTGATATTACAAGTATAAATAATTTGTACTCGGACGAACAAATCTTTAACCACCTCCGTCCTTATATGAACGATTCTTTGAGCAGTAAATGTACTAGTGTAAGAACTATAGAAATCTTCGGAGCGGCAATTGACAGTCCTTTTTCTAACACTTACATGGACATTGCAGATATATTAACAAGGAGACTAAGTTTGGTTGTGGGCTGTTGTATTGGATTTATAGTGTTCGTCGTATTAGTTTCTGCGTTAGGGTATATTAAAACCAAGAAGAGACAGGTTATTGTTAAAGCTGAGGTGCAACAAGCTCCACAGTATATTTCATATGACAATTTCAATACGCCTGGTGTAGAGGTTCAGACTACTGACATGGATATAAATACAATAACAGATAAAACAAAAGTACAATGTAAACACGATTGAATAACCTTGTAAATACTGTTCATAGTGTACAATATTGTGTTCAAGGATTTTTCTCAATTTGATTCCCCTGTGAGTTTGATGCCACTCATCCTAGAGTGTACCTTTCATACCTTCATCGCCTCGAGGTGCCGAGGTCAGGAAGTTTGACAGACGGCAATGAATTATTACAAGTTCGAGCTATCAATAACGAAATGTGTGATAATTGAAAAAGTTTTACATCATCAGGGTACTTTTTTTCTTGCTATATAAGTATTAATTTAGTCGTAATACTTTTCTTTCTGTCCGTTAATTTACTAACATAACCGTTTTATGTAGGTATATCACATTGTTATTGGTTACCCAATTTCATGGTAATTTTATTATAATCTAGTCTAGCATCTCTTTTGTAAGGTTTCAATGTTGTTTTAGTAAAATCTTCGAAATGAACCCTGAGTTTGTCCAATGTTTTGAACTTTTGAACTACCTACGTCCCTATGCGCGATACATGTGAATGAAAATGTTTAAGTTAACCTTTGTAATATCATTTATTCATGATGAAAATTACTGAAAAGATTATATTGGTTTATGTTTACCAAAATTAGGTGAAGATCTGAGCCTCGGTACACATTATTATGATTTTACGTTTACTAACGAGGCAAAATGTGTATAAACAATATTCAATACTGATCAAAGGACATGTAAATCAAAGATGTTCTTCATTAATGAATACTAATATAAGTTTCGACTTGACGTTTAACGTTATCTTATGTTGAAAATATAATAATTTCTATTGTGATTATTATCATAGATCTAAGTGTAAGTATTAAGATTTAGAAATAAATTTTAAAATACGTTGTGTATAATAAATCCAAGTAAGTTACTACTCTGATAGTTGTAATGACAGTGTTATAGAAAAAGTTAACATTAACGGTCTCATAAGTAAAAAAACGAATATTTATACTCAAAATTTCTAAGTATCCATAGTTATAATTCCTAGATAATGTACCGATAGTTTTAAATAACAATTATGTCATAAATCAATGAAGATATCAAACTCAATTTAGTGTAACCAAAGTAACTGTACCAACTCTGTTGATATCTGTTTTAAATACATCACAATTCATTTGAAACTAGTGTAAAGACTGTAGAATTGGTAATAAAACTTTGAAAACATTATTATAAATCTCGTTTTCTATTTTACTGAGCCCCAATTAATCTACACGATTTGTCCACAATCGCAGAACTTCATCAAATGATTCTCAGAAATATTGTTGTTCGTAATAAAGGATTAAAACTTTCGTCGATTTATGGATGGACATTGTTTTTAATATTAGGTAATGAAGGAAACTTTGAAAACTGATAACCAGAACTACAGTTCTTAGAAATGTAAGTTTTATTATTTCTGAAAATATAATGAAACAAACAGTAAGAAAGACTATAAGACTCAACACATTTTCAAATATTGTTTCATCTCTGAAACACAAGCACATCTACATGAGAAGCCAATTTAATCTTGAGACAGCATTTGTTGGGTAAATAACTTCGTTATTGACAGCTATTGGGACGCAATCGAATCTTTTTTTATTGACTACGTACAATACAATATAAATCTCGTCGAAGGAGTTAACTGTCTCTGCGTCCACATCGAATGTACTGCCCCTACTAAATGGATTACATGAATAATTCAGCGGTAAAAGTCGCGAACAAGAGATGCTTTGTGGGACTTTTGCTCCCGTCTCTGTTTTACGACATTTAAATGATACAAAATACTTCGGCTATAAACAGGATTCCAACGAAATAGTTGAAATTTCTCATTCATTAACGCCTAATTCGTTAAACTTGTAGTACCTACTTTAGTATTGTTAATTTGTTTCGTTTCAATTAAATTTTAGTACTCAAACGTCTTTGTGCTTGAGTAAGTTTAATTTACATTTTTCTTGATGTTGTGCAATTAGATAACTGGCAGGTTCTTTATCTTTTTTTTTCGTTTTTATTTAAGGTAAATGTCGTGTGCGCAAATAAAGGATAGTATATAAAAACATAGCTTTGTCAGGGACTATAACTAAAACAAATTAACCGAACAATAGCGTTACATTTAGTCTTTCGACATTCAAGAAAGTATTAAGATATTCAAAATGTGGGCGTCTAATGTTTTTATAATGGGTGAGTACATCTGTAAAGTTCCCGTACCGAGCTACGGCAGCGCTTACATCCGTTATCCATTAGCTTTACCTAAAAGCGCTAACAGGGCTCGTGGTGTGTACCCGTTCAGCCATGAAAAACGAAACAGTACGTCCAAAATAAATGACTTGGAACATGGAATCGGGAAAATTTTATACATTGCAGGGTGACTGAAGTTCACTACGATGTGGACATGTATTGACAGTGGTACCTGAGGAAGCAATACTTGGTAAGTACACGAAAAGATTACAAAATATTGTTCTTATTTTTCACTTCAGTACAGAATTGCGATATCAGAATCAAAATTAATGAATATGGTGTCGTATCTCTTTACAAGAGTCATGAGCCATGACCAACCTAGAATGCGGGCTAGACACAAATATCTTGGTCTAAACAAAAAACCCTAAATACTTTAATTCAGTTACTGGATCCGAGCCATTTTTAGAAATCACTGCAGAAAATCAATCCTATTGCCGTTAGTGTTACTATTTTCTCTGACATATACATCAAATGTTAAATATATAAAACGTACTGAATCCTTTTCTCACGTGGTCAAATGGAATCAATCCTTTCACGAGTCCAGCATTGAATGCTGTGAGGTTTGCACGAGTGGATTTAATCAACATAACTTCCAACTGACGAATTTAGAAACGTTTTATTCTGAAATATTTTTTCCAGCTATATCCGAATGTGGCCGGATGAATCGGTGTTTGCACGTTTGAATAGTGTACGCGGTCCCGCTTTGAACTTATCAATATTGCGTTATTTTATATTCTTTTTGAACATCCTTTTTTAAATGCTATTATCAAATGAAAACGAAAGCGTATCTCGCAGTTGTTTATTAGATTTCAGTTTCATATATAAAAATGATGTGCTCTTCTAAATGTAGAACCCTAATATTAATTTTCTTTAAAATATTTTTATAAAATATTCTCAAACGTAGAATTCATCAAGCTTATAAATATCTACTATTAGATAAACTACTCAAATTAAAAAACAAGTCCAAATTGAACAAAAACAAAGCGGTGCAGTTCTATCCCCATAGGTACATTTACAAACGCCCACTACTTGGTACACACGTAGGGCACACATTTACTTTGCTTGCTTTAACCGGAACAATGATACGCGTTATTGAAACAAAGACGCATTCAGCCTCAGACCCAAATCTCGGTCAGAGTGACCTCAGTAATCGCTTCGTCGAGGTATACATTCGTACCTACGTACATACATGTATAAATGTAGATAGATATGTATGTTTATTTGGTCAGCTCTAACAGTGAAGCAGACATTATTTTATTTACGCACACTTTTCTATTTTGAAATAACGAAATCAGTGCTTCATAATTGTTGTTTGTAATATTATATACTAGTTAATTTGCAACTGTAAACATACAAATGTTTATTAAATACTAATAGTGACCCAAATTAAAATTAAAATAGTATCATCATAATATAATTTAGCCATCGATTTCGATGATACCCATTATGCAGTATTTATTTAATCAGTTGTGCCTATAATTTGGGATATTTATTTTATATATCATTTGCACTGAGCCTGGATTATTTAATTATTATTGAAGTGAATTTATTTTTGAGGGATTTTCTACTTACTGTCGAAGTCGAAACCCCACATTGACAACATATTCGAATCTTCAACGATAAATATATTTTATAATAGTAAGTCACTCCTCCGCTTACTCAGCCGAACAAAACAGTGAGTGGCGTTTGTTTGTTTGTTTACATTCCAATTACTTGTAAATATTAAAATTACTTTTGAAACAAATTCGCGCTGTCTGAATAGACAGCGCTCAACTGATGGCCGTCATATTTGACAAGTGTTCTTTGCAATCCCAACACTTGGATTCGTTGAGAAGCACCGAGTGTCTCATTTATTGTATCCTTCTTCGTCACCACTCGATACAATTTCAAATTTCCGACTTTCTTAATAGGATTTGTGAAAAAAAGTATCAGAAACTTGGTAACGTGAATAATGTAAGCAGAAAGACAACTAGATGCGAAAATAATTTTAATAATGTTATCTAGATTAATTATCTCAAACAATTTAATTGTACAATTACGTAAGTACCTGTAGTAAACTAAGTCACAACACTGCTCTCAAAGTTTGAAATGGCTTCTCTCACTTATTACAACAGGAATGATGACAAGGTATGAAAGTTAAAACTCTAATTAGTCCGTCAGTTAGGTAATGAAAAAATATTAGACACGATTTTTTTTATTTTGTCGTATAAGAAAAAAATACTTAAATAAAATACTCAGGAGCATGACTTATCTTATGTAAAGAACAACCATAACACACGAACTATGGCTGCTGGTAGATACAATGTACCCAGAGTCACCAACTATTTTGGTGATAGAACACTAAAAAAGAGAATACCGTATCTATTAAACAGTCTGCCGGCAGACATAAGGAGTGAAACAAATTCAAACAGGTTTAAACGAAAATTGAAGTCATATTATTTAGAAATGTCCTAATAATAAGTACCTAAGTATAAGTTTCAACGCCTGTACAACATTTAAATATAAGTAAGTACATTTAATTGTAATGTTTAGCGACTCGACCCCGCAGTCAAACGGTTTTGTGGGGCTTATATTATAAGATACTTACATGTGTTTTTAAATAAAATAAAAAAAAAAATTAGGAGTGGGAGCTAACTACGTCACTTTTGAGTAAGAAACGTACACAAAAGTGACGTCACTTCAAATCAATATTTCATCGAAAGGTTCTATGTCCATAAGAAAATAAAAAACGTGTTTAATTTTTTTTATAATATTCTACCAGACGGACAATAAAATAAAAATGAGTCATCTACCCTATTTAGTATATAATAAAACAGCAACTAAAGAAACTAGTAAACTAATAATGACAACTAATTTAGAAATGATAAACACAGATTAAAAAAATACATTTTATCATTCTAATGTCGCCTATAGTTTCAGATTACAGCTACCGATCCTTTACATCTCCCGTATAAAATCGAGTCATCAGTAAATGTGGTCGAGTGTGGACAGTGCTTAACTACAGTGATTTGCAAGAAACTACACATCAACCACAGACGGTGATAAACATTCTGTCCTACCGACCTATCGTACCGTCATGTATCTTTTACAGCTTATTTATTTAAAGATTTTATATAGGTATGTACCGCTCATTTTATCCAGTTCCACGTTACAAGGGCCTATATCCAGGCCTATTTCCATCGCTCACAGTTTTAAAGATACTAACTTTGCTAAGAATTTCCAAAATTTAAAATATTTTGTCATGTCTAGAAATAAACACATCGGTGCTTTTGCCAACTGGTATACCTGTTTGTGTCAGTGTTTTAATTAGAAAATCTATGAATAGCTGTTTGACTTACCAATTTCATACTTCAAAGAGAATTGTAGAAAACAATCGACGCAGATATGAAAATTACAATTAGTTAGGTCAAAGGACACGTGTAGGCGATACAGAGGAAAACGCAATTAGTATATCATCGTCGCCATCAGACGTAATTTTTTATTTTTTATTTATTTATTTATATCAGGCAACGAAGGCCCATATTAAAATACAATAATACCATAATATCTACTACAATTTTAACTTAAAATACTATAAATACATAATTTAAATAATAAATTGAAACACTAATTATCACGACTATTGTGCTGTGTCGGCGTCGTGTGCTGCGCGGTGTCAGGTATCCGGCCGCGGAATCGCCGGAAAACAACACCTTTCGGCCAAAACTCTGGTGTCATGAATTTTGGTAAATCCACGGAAGGCACTCTCACCACAAATGAATTGAAATTCACGCTGTGGTGGGATTCTAATTTCAAAACCCTTAGAGTGTAATTCGTTTTGATCTGAATATACTCTACAATCTCCTCGACCTTTGTAGAGTAATGCAGCCTGGACACGTACAGCAGCGTCCCTGGTACAGCTGGACGCAGCAAATGTTTCGGCCCGGTCGGTGCAGTGCCGCACTTGTTTTGGGATGACTTCTTTTTCTTCCTCTGAACAGTGATAAAGCCATCTCTATCGACTTGCTGCTTTTGGCACGCGTGCTGACAGCTCTTCTGCTTAATCCCCTTTTCAGTAGGTCGCTTAGTCTGCAACGCAGTTGTTTTCTTGGCGACAATATCTGCGTAAGCACGTGTAGGGGTCGTCGTACCTACGTGTGACGTTACCGCAGCCGGTGTAGAGGTGCGGGTGACGGCGACGGCGAGCGATGCTTCGTCTGCGATTTTGGCAGTTGACAACACACTTGTATTCGCAGACTCAAAACTGCCGATTGTGGCGTTCAGCGCTCCGCGACGTGTGTTCACCTTTGAGGCCTCAGGTGACCTAATTACTGAGCCTGTATTGCGCAGTGATGTAATTTCGGCACGTAGATCAGCAATGATTTTGTCTGACTCCTCCATTCTGGACTGCATCTTGGTCATCTCACCTTTCAGTGATGTAATGTCCTTTAGCAGTCTCGTAACATCAACGTGATCGAAGGTGACAGGGGGTAGTTTACTTAGCTCCCTCGCCACGAAGTCAGGCACGTCATCTGGATCGGTCTTCTTCAACATATCGATGATGTCTTGGAGACTCTTCTCGGTGCCATCTCTGCGACGAGACGGCATTTGGTCTAGTTTTCCCAGGGACTGGAACAGTAACAGCTTGGCGCTGCTGACTTCCTCCTCCTTGTAATTGGATCGGCATATTTGCAGTATGCTCACCTCATCCATGTAGTCAATGGCATGGACTAGAAACGCCAGTAGTTCGTTCACTATCAGCGGTTTGGAACTCATAGTGTCACCGTGCAGCGGTAATGTGTCCACAGCTGAACAAAGGCCCATCCGTTTGAATTCAAAAGTGGGTAACACCCGTATCAACAAAACCTATATTTTTACCGTTTCTTACTTAGAGAAATGATTGGAACTAATAGAAAACAATCGACGCAGATATGAAAATTACAATTAGTTAGGTCAAAGGACACGTGTAGGCGATACAGAGGAAAACGCAATTAGTATATCATCGCCACAATCAGACGTAATGTGTCCACAGCTGAACAAAGGCCCATCCGTTTGAATTCAAAGGTGGGTAACACCCGTATCAACAAATCCTATAATTTTAACGTTTCTTACTTAGAGACATAAGAGGTAATAACTTATAAGAAATTATTGGAACTAATAATTGGCAATATTTTTGGAAACTCTTAAAATGGACTGTGAATGTACTATGTAATTTGATTCCATAATGTCAGCATTTATCAATATAGAGGTAATTACACAATGGTCACGACGTGATCTGATATGTGACTCGAAATTTCAGACACGACATTATTATACTGTGACAGTTTCTAATTATAACAATTCTCATTTTCTGGATTCCAGGAAAACATTGACAACTAAGATATATTTAGGTACCAGTTCCGATTACATGCGTATTTCATGGATTACAATTAATATCTGGAAAAATTCTAAGTCCTAAGCTACAACATTTTATTTAGGTACTGATCTTTTATGTACGAAAATCATCGAATGACTGCTCCCGCCTGGGTGAGGCGGGAGGGATTGTGAGACTCTTACTGACTAAAAACCACCCCGCTCCTTCTCCTGCACGTCGAACCGGAGCCGGGATATCGGTATCCCGTTAGGTTTTCCGCGACCCCGAATCGGCATCGGCCCTATTGGGCCCCATCTGTGGTGGTCTGTGGCTCTTTGAGGCTACGCTCGGATCTGGTTCTGGTCGGACGAGGAGCCACTCATGCTCGCCGTCCGCAGGCCCGCGCTTAAGGTGGCCGGAGATCGTCCCGTGTCTTTTAGTATTAAATATTGGATTTCAACTGATTGTTAAAATGAAATTTTAAAATATTTAATGTGTCCGGTAGTTGCAAAAATGATCTGTTCCTATAAAATAAAATGTTCAAAGACATTTTTGTAGTGACAGCGCTCGGAGTAACAATGGATCTAATTTTGAGAGTTTTTGCTTACTTATATACCTATATTACATGAATCTCTTATAATACATATTCTTTTAATTAAGATCCAATTTTGTATTATACTTAACAATGCCTTTAAACTAAAAATAAACCAGAAAAAATAACAAATCTTCTTCTTTAAAGTCACTAAATATAATAAAACAAATAGATATTGTGTACTTTAATATCTAATAATGTTACTGTGCTGTATACGTAGTTACTACCACCGTCCGATTACCCACGCTGATTGAAATTCTCGCCCTTACAATATAACTCTTGCCCGCCACGCTTCTCGCCTTACCCGAGGATAAAAATGCTAATTTACAAAGAAAAATGTTAGGTTCAGTACATATTTTTTCCCAGGTAAGCTATATGAAAAGTTATTTCATCTTTCAAAGTCGTATTATTCGCCTGATTCTTTTTGGCATTCTCAAATAATTTAGAGCTTATACGCCCGTGTACTGAAACCCCTTTGTCTCCTTCACCTGTATTGTAACAAAGAATAATACACTGTAAAAATCTTTGAAAACCGTCCTAATGTTTGAGCTTGAATAAGTTCAATAAATACTGATTCTGAAAAGTCAGATTTACATTAATTTTTGTCACATTATGTTGGCGTAATAACGATAGTAATAATTACATACCATACTATTATTCCGAAAGATAAAACTAGGCTACACACCCGTATAAACATAATTTAGCTGAATTTCGATCATCCAGAGCTTGGAAGACAGTCACAGAACAGTCTTCCAGTTACTATCGAAAAACTTAACCTCTTAATAAAGCTTTACTTAGCATACAATTAAAAGGAATACAATAAACAGTTACTTCTTTTGTACCAGTCAAATAACCTTGGCCTCCTTCGACCTACATCCTCGGAGGGCCAATTAAAAATATTCAAACCATCCGTAATTTAGGTCGTCGTAAAACTGAAATACGAGAATTAGGCAAAGTTGACACGACACTAGCCCTACATTTACAATGTTGTTTGACAACCGAAAGGACTTTGATAAAGAAAGACTTTGTAAAAGGTTTTTGATGCGAACACTTTTAATTGTCATTATTCTTTTTTTATTCATCGCTCTCATCTCTATTATATCATATATTAATAAACATGTCTCTTATGACTATCTCGTTGATGGAATGGTAGTTAGTAGGGCTGTCATACAGTACTACCGAGGAATTGTAAAATGTATAATGCAATGAAATGATATTTATTTCTGCAAAAAGGTTTCAAAATTATATTTTTACTCGTCAATCTTCAAATTACAAGATTAGAGCCGGTTATAAATTCTTCAATTGAAGTAATAATGTGAAAGACCGGTTAACTTTAGGAATAAAAAACGTCATATTGAATTTTTCATAAGAGTAACTTTAAATACTTATGATAATGCAAATTAGCTAAAAGCGCTTACATTATTACAACAAATTGTATGTCTTTTAACTACAAATTAAAATACACTCTCATATTACATGATACTATATTTATTTTGGCACGTTTCATACCGAGCTTACACTTGTATAGACCTTAATTCACACTAATTTGCCAACACTTAGAACAAACAACAAACACTCGGGAGTGGTCTAAAATTGGGGCATAATTACTTTAATGTAACTTAGGTACAATGCTTAGCTAGTACATATCTGAACATAAACTTGAACAATGGCAAATTGTATATAGTTTCACGAATGCGTATCTATGAGCGGGCGATAAGTATTACAAAACTATTCCGTTCCCGTTTGATGTGTTAAGATATAAGGTCATATAGATAGAACATTAAATAACGCAACAATATTTACATGTCAGCCAATGAGCTAAGTAAGAGGAGCTAATGGAACACATCTCGGTTTACTCAGTCCAGCACTCGTAATACAATATGAACCCTCATCGTAAATGGGTCAAGTGGCCCCTGATGATGTCAGGATATGGCTATTAAAGTCCCACGGCTACATCGTACCATTTTATATTTAATTTAAATGCCGCGGATACCGTATTTTTAATTAATCTGTTTGTAATGCAATGACGAGGAATACCAGTGAAGTTTGTATTTGTATTTGTATAAACCTCTGTTTTCACAGTAAATCATTAAATGAAATTGTTAATTTGTTACGTTGTGATAATGTTTCATTGTTACATTGTTGTGGCTTCAGATTTTTGGGTATGGTTTACAATTGTCCGAATAATTGGATGTTACAATGTAGATAGGTACCTCGGATTTTGGCATAGGTCAGCACAAACTAATGGCTAACGAAAATGTAACTTTTAGACCGAAAATTGTGAGCATTAATGAGCAAGTGGTGATAAATTCCCGCGCTTTATCTGTCTCAGACAGGCCTTGCCCTGAGCCGTTTATGAATTAAGTTAAAATACTAAAACTAAGAACATTAAAATACTAACATTTAGATTGAGCTTCTAATGAACCGGATAAAAAGATATATATATTTTTTATTTAAAAGAAGGTAAATAAAACTTGTAAGATTAAATATCTATACTTTGTAATAGATAGCAATAGCCATGTGACTGACACAAACAATTTACACGGCTTTGGCTTTATATGTATACTAGTTTAAAATAATTATAAAAGTTACTTTTTTAAATTAAATAACTTTCTGTACTATGCTTAAAAATAAGTATTAAGTACTATCGAATAAATTTCATGAATTTACACAAATCCGCAAAACACTTTACGCCTACACACTCAAATATACAGCTTCTAAAATAGAATAAGGATTAAAACTCCAGACTCAAATTGTATTTAACACATTTAACGTTTCAATACACAGGTAAAGAACACATATACAAGTCACAACATTCACATACTCTTTCATCTAAAACTTTGTACCAAACAGTACCGGATCATCTTTCTCGAAAATGTTTATTTATTTATTTTCCATTTAATGATTTCACGATAAGAGGATTCCAAGGGAAATGAAGTATCACTGTTACTCTCATTACCATCCCTACCAAATACTTGACTAGAAAGATTAAAATCGAAACATCTTCAGATACAATTTAAATTAATTACTTTTGTAATTATATATTACTTGGCAATATCTTTGCCTTTACACAATGGTGCCTTGAATATGCTACATTCATAGAAATTCTCATCACGATGTGGACACTGCATTTTTCAGATGCTCACTTTAGCACGATGGGTCTTGATGAAAATTTGATTTCACTGCAATCAAAAAATGGCTTTCGTTACAAAGGGTACATAAGGCGCCCACTAGACTTGAACTTTTGTATAATATCAATAAATCTGATGACAAGTCAATGTTTGATACCTACGTTTTATATAACGAATTAATGTACTTTACTTGTTAACACAAACAATTTTAAAATATATTTTTATGGTGTCTATTCTTTTCAGTGTATCAATCTATTTTCACTACATCGCATCTTACATAACTATCTTCAAAAACAAAGATCAGACACTAATTAACAAAATTCTAGTTAAACATTTTACTTCATACATTCCTACCACGTCTTATTTAACACATTTCTCTTTGAAATAGAGACTACTTCAGCGTAACTTTTGATAGAAGCCTCAAGAGGATTACAATTAAAAGTCACGTCCACACATCACTTAGAAAGTCAATGTAGTTCACTTATCTTGTTGCCCACAAAGTATTCTGAAGATTCAAGGGACCACAATTGTTTGTGACGTTTGATCTCATTAAATACATTAAGAAATCTAGTCTTGTATCAAGTTCGCAGTATTTTTCAATAGTTTCTTTCACATTTTCTTTCTTATTTATAAGAAACTTTATCTAAACTTTGATTGATGCCAGACAAACATATTGGATTGAAAATCGAGAATGCTAAAGTGGATATACCTACACCCTTCTGTAAAATATTAATACTAAATTGTATTA